TGAAAAGTAATCATGGAAAATACGATTTATACGATTTCACACCTCGTAAAATGTGAAAAATATAAAAATAATAATAAATTATTTTCTATGATTATTTTTCATATCAAAAATGCAAAAATCCTTGTTTTAAGTGTAGAACTATTAAATTTAATAATTCTAATAATAACAATAATAATTATTAATATTTTCAGGAATTAGCTGTGTAGTAAAAATTAATATTAATTATGAAGTCGATAACAAATGATAAAACGATGTGCGTACTGTATAACTACGGGTTTGAGCGTGCAAATTCTACGCGATATCACTGGTAATCTTTGATCGGTTATAATTCAAAAACTATTGTAGCCTCAATATTTTTGTATTAGGATTTTTTACATTATTTTATCTTCAGAATATGTTATTAAAATATTTTACGGTGATTGTGAGACACCTTGTATAATTTATGCTGAAAATAAAATATTCATATATTTGAAGGAAACAGAAATGTCCAGAATTACGTTCAATGTTCAGACATTGGTTCAGACTTTTATTTTAATTTCAAAATTCGGTGGTTTTTTCAAAACATTAAACACGGGTGAGATCTTTTTATTTCTTTTTTAATAGTCCAAAATTGTCCACGAGTCCAGATTTAATGGTAAGATAATAAATCTGTTATCAACTTAATAATTAAATCAACTGTCGTATTCTAAATGCAGAATGCATTCGTACACGGCAAAGGTATAACTACGTGCGTACATTTATAAATATAGTATCACAGAAAAAAAATGCAAACACACACACAACACATTCACCCGCCGCGTGTACGTAACTCATATGCATATGTCGTAGTACATCGCAGTGGGTTTCAACTCTACTTCACTAGCGTAAAACAAACCTCGCGGAATTGCGAAACCAAGCAGCTCCGTGTCATCTTTGAAACTGACTGCCTGGTACGTGCGACGAAAATTCATGCAGAGCGGAGTAGCTATAGCCGCCGCGTCTCTGGCGAACAAGCTAGCGAGGAGAATTCAGGTAGATAGCACGGTGAAACTTCCGGTCAGAAGTTACGCCCGTCGCCGGGACTTCGCGGAAACTTGCTCTCACCTTGAGAAGTGGAGAGAGAATCGTGAGGATGAGCGAAAGTAAGAAAGGGAGATTACAGTCCGAGCAACGAAGTGGCCGCGGTTCGATAAATAGTCTACCATTAATACAGTCGCTCTGGATAAATTTGAACAGCGCCAGCTTTGTCTACCTGCAAGTTGCATGACGACCCGCACATTGAAATTTCACGTGTACGACCAACTACTCGAGCCTCAGGCGCTCGAATAAATGCACGATGATTTGTATCTTTCAACTGGCTTCGATACGCGCGCGTCGGCTTAAACGCTTCCACTCGTAATTCATTCCGCGGGAACCTATCTATTCCTGTGGCAATTGCTTCAGAAAGAAGACTGCCAATTTTGAAGAATGTTTCGACCCAATTTTAGAAAAACGGAATATGATTCAAATTGGAGTCTCCGATAGGTTTGACCAAAATTCCTCAATATTATTTTTTGCACTCGGAGAGAAAAAGTATTTAAAACATTAATATTTATTCGTTGTGGTTACTAATAACATATTTATTTGCACTAATATATACTTTTACACTGAGAGAAAATATGTTTGAAATGAGAAAATATATATTTTCGTAAAACCGTTGTTCTTCATGAAAACAATTGTTTATTCTATTCAAATAAAAGAATTTAGATTTAAGTTAATATGTTATTGATACACACCAAATAAATATGTTTTATTTCTCAGATATTTTTTCCCTCAGTGCAGCGTATATCTAAATTTTCATTACAGAATCAAGGTATATCTGATATAGACAAATTTTTTTGGTGGTACTCTATTAGACTCATAAAGTTTCTATTGAAAAGGAAAAGCGCGCTAAAAACGGAACACAATGATGAAAAAACGATTTTCGACAAAATATTGTGTAAAGCATTCACGATATTTTAAAATACTCGAGACTAATATTAGTAGTAGTATCAGTGTATATTAATAGTAATATCAGTAGTACTATCAGCAGTATTATCAATAGTAGTGTTATCAAGTAGTTTTTGACACGAGTATTTGGATATCTACTCTCTCCCTCTTTTTCTCGCTATTCGAAGTCGTAAATATTACTTAAATAATAATTATTAATTTTAACAACAAGCGATTATTTTTTCTTCTAAGATATTACAATTTTCTCCTAAGATATTATCTACACTGCCTAAATAAGTGTCTAAAAGACGCTTTCACTTTTTGGAAATGGTTTTTCAAATGTGCTTTACACACTCGTGTTATTTGGGTTATCACAACTCGCTTTAGCAATCACGAAATTGTCTCTTAAGTACATAATATGATATTGTGGTGCTTTAACTTCCGTTTACGCTCTCTTCTAGTCACGCTCTATAAATTGTATGTGACTTGCCCAAGTTAGCATTCTAATAATTCTCCCGCGCTGGTAACTGCGATATTTCTGTATATCTTGAAAATTCGTGCCGCGCGACGGAGAATAGTAATGCACCCTGAGGCTAATTACAAAAAAGCCAGAGACGATGGAACAGCATTAATTAAGATAATGAAATACACGAGGCGGGCGGCTCTTTAATGTTGACCAGTTTTATTCTACTACTATTCGTTACATAATACTTTGATAATATTTCTCTTCGTTCAATGCGTGGAAACTTTTTATATATTAATAAATGCTCATATATTGAAGTTTTTTTTCCATAACTCACTCAATTCAATATAATGTCAATTTAATACAATATATTTGCAACCGCAACCATATTTTAAGTTACTTATTACTATATAAATAAAAAATGTATATTTAACGTTTAATGACATCAATGTAATTAATATCGTATTGTTACTGTGCCAAAGAACCTGTAGCGTTACATTTCATTACCCTAATTGCTGTTGTATTTTCTCTTTATTACCTAATTACTGAATTATTATTGTCAAACAAATTGAACTTTAAAACTGATGTTGTTTCGCCTTTTTCCTTTTTATACAGTAATTTCTCGTTATCCAATTATCCGTATACATAGATGTATGTGTATGTGAGTTATAATTGGAAAACTGATAAAATATAAAATGCAGAATTGAAGAATATAAAAGGAGAGATCAAAAATACCGAAGCGCAAAAACATTACGTCCCAACTTAAAATCGGAACGGAAGGTACGGACCTCCGTAAACAATGAGCCATACATGTAAGTAGTGAACTAATAAGCGAGCAATGAAGTAACTTTCTCGGTAAACTTTAATCTCTTCCAGTGTACTCTGTAACTTCCTCTTCTCATTGATGAGACATGGAAGTTTCATCGCTCGCTACCGGGGATATTTTCCAGAGCTTCTAGTGCTCTCAGACAGTAGACTACGCGCACATTTCAACCTCTATTTCGAATAACATTGTTGAACACGCATGACCTAAAGTTGTTCTTGCGATAAATGATAATGATATTGATCATCTTTCGATTGCGTACGGTGTGAGAGCGATTATAATATAATTATTATATGATAAATCGTCTTTTAGTGACTTTTTACACTATTATCAGTAGTTAAAAAATGATCAACTAAACTACTAACTTCATACTCACTGAATGACTCATTTATTTCCGTTGTTGCTTCCTCGATAATTTATTTACGTAATGTGTTTGCTCGAATGTTAAGCAAATAATACGGCGATATGTAAATTAAAAGATTTTGTAGCTTTTCTTTTAATTATCAATTACAGAAAATTACAGATTTGAGTAACAAAAATGATATCCGAGAAAATACTGAGTCAACACACGTTTATTGTGTAATCATAAAAATTATAAATATTTCGGAATTAGATAATTTTGTTTTCATTTCTTTTCTGACAAATACGAAAACATGTTTATCTCGTATCGATATTATTAAGTAATATAAAAATCAAGCGATGAAGTTATATTACAACCATATTTATATACACATCTCTGTCGTTAACAAAACTAAAAAATTTTTATCTTTGTAACGTTCATAATTCTCAATTATTCTGCTCAATTTACTATTAATATATCTCAAGATGGCGAGACGAGAGTGGAAGTTCCGTCTAAACTGCAGTCAAGATTGATTACACCCTCTCTCCATAGTACATATAATTCTATGAGCTCACCTGCTTATTTACGCTCTCAGCATCTCATCTCATGAAGCAAGGCAATTCAAAGTGTTAAATCATAATTAACGACATGATCAAAGTATAAAATTTTTAACCTTTTGCTGCGACGTACTCCAACTAAGTATCGCCCGCACGATATTTGTTTCTTACCGAATCCAAGTCGCTTGAGTAATTAACGGGCCTCTTATAAAGTTTTATATTTGCTTATCCGCTTATAGATATATTAAAAGATATAAAGCACGATAACATATAGATCAGTTTAGTGAGAAATTAAATGCATCATATCAAAGGAAATATACAAGGCGTATATATATACATATAGGCGTATATATATATATATATATATACTATATATGTACATATCGATGGATATGTCAGGACGTACAAATACATGCCTATTGTACATAGATAGCCATTTTCTTAGGGCGTATATATACGTTTCTTGTAAGCTAAAAGATTAATAGTGATATCTATTAAAGATGGGATGATCCCAAGATATATAGAATGAAGAATGTTTTGCCAAAATCATATATTTTATAAAAAATTTGAACTGGATATTCCTCAGACAATATAATGTTTAAAATCGGGACGTAAGACGTCTTGAAAATAATCTTTAAGACGCCTTAAAGACATTTATACGTAAATCGTCTGAAAGACATCTTAAAGATAATCTCTAAGACGTCTTATGTCCCAATTTTAGACATTATGTTGTCTGGATCGTTATACGAAACTTTATAAAAAACGTCATTTATCATTAGTTTCTAATTTTTAGTATTAAATATCTTAATAGTAAAATTTTGAATTTCTATTTCTAATTTTTGACATGTGAAAATTCGGTGAATTAAAAAGTAAGATTTTATTATTTATTTATACTCTCGAGACTTTTTCCGTCAAATTAATGTTACTATAATTTTTAATCGTCGATCTTCAAGATCTTGTACTTTGTTGTTACTATGATGTTACTAATGACATTTTTCGTCTACTAGAGCATACTGTTATTATTGATAATTACAATGTAAATAAAGGTAAAGAAAAAAAACACATTTTTTTAAATTATTACAATCGAATTATTAGCATCGATATATGCACTTGTAAACATTAATATAAACCAAGTACATAATTCTTTTTAATACTAGTAGCACTTATTTCATAATTGAGACCTTAATAAATCACAATATAATTTGTAGTTGGATTTTTGCCTGCGTACGCGTATTATATTATTAACAAATTAATTTCTCGTTATATTTATATCATGTTATATAGAAATATACCTATACATTATTGTATTGTAACTTATTAGCCTCAATGAAATAAATGTTACTAATTTAAAGATAATTATGTATGCATGTGTACATATACACACACATTATATACAAGCATATGATTAAATATATTAACTCTGATCAGTTATAACATTATAAAAAATACAATCAATATTGGCATAATACAATCAAATTCGTCGTAACTTTCGAAATATTTGTCGCGAATATTGATCGCACATCATACTTTTGGTAAGTAAAAAAAGATTGATTTATTAAACACCTTGTGCTTATAATGATAGTGATAGAAAAGTTTAGTACATATTATCATAGGATAGAAAACATTTTTAGAGCCGATATTTAAACTTTCACGAACATTATTATTCAAGAACAAACAACATCGGTAAACGACGACGATATAAAAGGATAATTCATTAAAGTTTTCGGCAACAACGGATAACTGCCTGTAGAAAACGAGATTCAACATTGTATAAATACTAATTGAGTGTCGGTGAGTTTCCCGAAGCCAGGAGATGCTTTCACCCGAGAATAAGATACGATGGAAGACATTTAGTATGTGTGCAGTAATGATATAGTAATAAGAAATCTTGAAAGTCTACGCGATGAAAGTGCGTGATAAAATTGACATTCGTTTCACCAAACGGAATGCCAGTTCCGACAATATGTTTTTTTCCCCCTTTTTCTTCCACGTATAATATGTATTGGTGAACAAAGTAGTTTAGATAACTACATGTATTGACACTGTCAGCAGTAGCAAGAACTGCTAGGCGGTGGGGTATCGTTCTCGTGGCATCTTAAAACTTTCTGATGTGGTAACACCATCTTGTCTACTGTAGTTTCCATTCTGCGCATTACGCAGTCTAATAATAAATTCACGGCGACCTCGACGTTCTCCCCGGTAGCAGCACTTGTCTCCAAATACATCAAGCTAAAAAAGAAATATTTCTACTTAGGCACAAGTGCATTATTTTGAAAGAAAAAATATGAAAAGTACAAAAATAGCATATATAATTGCGGCTTCTAAGAGAAATATATATTAATAGATATTCTCTTTTAAATGACAACACATGCGCTATTATCACTTTCAGTTCAACTTACCCGTGCTTTTTAGCGAGATCTTGCGCTTTGTTCTTGCTGACGACACGTCTATCCTCAAGATCAGACTTGTTGCCACAGAGAATTATGTCTGGATCATCGCAATACGCGTGTGTCTATATGTATGCAGGCATAAGATAATAGCACGTTAGTTCAATGAATACAAACTACGCCGGAAGAAATCACGTGTTAGACTACAAGATTTCATGCAAAACAAATGTACTTCGAATTATTATAGAATCCAATATCTCAGAACCCAAGGATGTTCCAGCACCCATTAAAAGAGAATGTCTTGCAGTCCAATAATATGAAATATTCATATAATCTTTAAATCGAACGATAACTTGAGCTGTGAAAAATGAGAATATACCTATACGTACTTACCATTAAAAAATGCAAGCGATAATATCTACGAATATTTACTTGAAACTTCTGAAGCTTCAGGATTTCTTCATGCGCTAAATTTTTGCAATTTTTCATCACATTTATGCAAAAAGAATAAAAAGAAAATATAGAAATGCAAAATAGAAAAGAAATTTTTTACAAAAATTTTCGTATTCAGCCGACGTATTTTTTTCTTTTGCATCCCTGTTATCAGAATATATAAATGTTTATGGAGAATATATAAATGTTTATGGAGTCAATAGATAATCTATAGTTTCTGCTTTTCTCTATACGCATACATCTATATTTGGAAATTAAATATTTCAATTTCATCGAATGCAAAGAAATGCAACAGATTGCTATCTAATTTCTCAAATCTTGTCAAATTGTGCGGAATCTTTTGCGAAATATCCTAGCAATTCTTGCAAATGTTGTTCTCTAACATAAACATCCAATTAGTAAAAACAGACGAAATGCTACATTTGCACAAAATATCCTATATGATGATGCCAAAAAGCCATACATGCTTTATCCTATCTATAGTCATGCATAAATGATAAAATAATAAGTAACCACGTTCACAAATATTACGTTGACGTAAACACGAGAGAGTATTGTGTAGCTGAAGAATTATGAACAGTATGTCAACTCAAAGAATCGTTCGATTAGGACGATCTCTCTGATTTTGCATATTTACAATAATGCTAATAAGTGACGAATACCCTAAGATGCTCCAGCCAGTTTCTAACTTCAAGGAACGACAGCTCATTGGTCAGGTCAAAAATTAGTAGGAAACCCATGGAATCCCGGTAAAAGGCTGTGGTTAAACTTCTGAACCTGGATATCAACAATGTTAAGCTACTCGCGTGGAATGTTAGATCAGAAGTCCTAAGCCTCAGCTTGCACATGCAGGATGCAGCGTCTTATGCATCAATTGGAATATCTATCGCTCATATCATATATCTCTATGCTTTTTATATCGCAATGCATTTTCGCACACGCAAGCTTTTGCAGCAAAGTAAATAATTAAATCATCAGTTTAGAAGTTGAAATGCAAACTATAATTGCGGCATAATTCACTGAATTGCATATTTATATCACCTGTATTGTGATTATGGAGATATATATGTCCAAAATTAACACATCTGCTGAAATTTAATGCTAGTTCACGAAAAAGTGCAAGATACGCATATCGAGAATATTGCCTATACCTATGTTGCCTAGAATTGCCAAGAACTAGAAGTTTGCAGATTCATCGTTTAGTGTACTCACCGCTCTTGACCAGCTGTGTCCCAGAGCTGCAAGTGCACTCGTCGGCTTCTACCATTATCTGTCCGATATATCTGCAATAATAAATGACTTCTTTTATATGACTACTTTTATCTGTTAACATAACGCACGAGCATGTCCAAACTCATTCCTTATATTTATTGCTTTATCTTGACTCGCATAAGACAGCGTCAATTACTCGCGAATTACATTATCGCGATGCTACATCCGTAGCCGGACGCTCTTAAAAAACGTCACAAACTCCAAGTAATCAACGCGCTACCGTACGGATTATATCGCTCATCCTCTTACCACTCGTTTTTCCTTGAAATCAATCCCAACGGTGGATATAAATCTGGCGCTGAAGACGCCGTCGGTGTATTGATGGAGAAAGCTCGTCTTGCCGACACCGGAGTCTCCCAGCGCCAGGAACTTGATCAAATAGTCGTAATTCAGATCCATTTTGCGCGAGTTGGCGCGGTCCTCGGTTTCAAGCGAGAGTGGTCCTTGCTCCTATAAAGCTAGGTCGGCTAGCGGTATTACTGACGACAAAAATAATACTTTTGTTAAGTAGTGATCAGCGCGCCCGCAGCCTTCGCGTTTGTACAACTCGTCGCGAATAAGAGACGATAACGTTAACTGTCGTAACTGCGGTACTTTAACGTAGACACCTGTTGCCTTCGTGTGCTTCCAGTAAAGAGGAACCTGAGCAGTGTTACCGCAGCTCTAAACATTTATTCTCCAGATTTCTGCTTTAAAAATCACCAAATTACAACTTTTTCACTAGATTTTTCAAAATGTATATAAATTCGAATAAAAAAACAATTTTAATGAGTTTTAATGTTTTAATAAACATATTTAAACATAAATATAAACAAAATTAATATAATATATTTAAACATTCATGAAAATATGAAAACATATTCGTAAATAGAGAGAGAGAGAGAGGGAGAGAGAGAGAGGGGGGGGAAAACTTATTTTGTAATTAGTAATTAGTAGTTTTAGTAGTTTTAGTAATTAGTAGTTTTGTAAATTGTTACTAATGGCAAATTTGATTAAATGTACTAGTACGCAGTCAGTGTACACTAACTTGTTTATAATTCGTTCTTATACTAATAGCCTGTTTGACTGACCCTGGGTTAATCGTTCCGAGAGCGATTAATGACGTCATAAGTCTCTACTAGCCAATCATAAAGCTTATAAGTACTTGTTCGACCAATAAACTTAGGCTGAATAACCCAGAGCGGGTTAACCCAGAGCCAGTCGAACATGCTATTAGGCTGCGTT